TATTGAAAGTGCCATGGGCTGCCAAAAGAACCAATAGATCCATTTTGGAAGAAGTGCAGCCAGAGTGCTCCTTAGAGGTCAAGATGGCCAAACTTCACCTCTCATACTTCAGACATATTGTCAGGAGGGACCAGTCACTGGTGAAGGATATCATGTTTGGTAAGGTGGAGGGTAAGAGAAAAAGAGGAAGACCCCAACAAGATGGATTGACCAAGTGGCAGCATTGATAGACTCAAGCAAGGCAATGGTAGTGATGTTGGTCTAGGATTCGGCAGTGTTTTGTTCTACTGTGCATAATGTCACTAAGGTACCAACTCGATGGCACCTAACAACAACAACAAATAGCTAATGATCATGAATATTTCTTCACATGTTTGTTGGCTGCTCGAATCTCTTTCTTGGTGAATTGTCTGTTCATGTCCTGTGCCCATATTTTAATTGGGTTACTTGTCTTTTTCTTGTAGAGGTGTTGTAGTTTCCTATAGATTTTAGAAATTAGTCCCTTGTCTGATATGCCATTGCAAACTATTTTTTCCCATTCTGTGGCTCCCTTTTTATTCTTTTGGTGAAATCCTTTGATGCACATAAGTTCTAATTTTTAGAATGTCCCAATCATCTATTTTGTTTTCTTTTGTTTGTATAATTTTCACAATGTTTCTGGTAGTCTGTGTGTGCCCTGGGTTAGAGTCCTTAAATTTGTCCCCATTTTTTCACTTATGACCTTTATAATTCTGGGATCCACATTTAGGTCTTTAATCCATGCTGAATTGGTCTCTGTATATGGCATGAAGGAAAGGCCTTGTTTCAATCTTTTGCATATTGATTTCCAGTTCTGCCAGCACCATCTGTTGAAGAGACCATGTCTTCCCCACTCAGTGTACTTTGGCCCTTTGTCAAAGATCAGTTGGCTGTATGTGGCTGGGTTAATTTCTGGATTCTGGATTCTGTTCCATTGATCAATGTATCTTTCATTGTACCAGTACCAGGCTTTTTTGACCACTGTAGCTGTGTAGTAAATTTTGAAATCAGGCTTGAGAGGCTTCCAACTTTGTTCTTCTTAAGCAATGTTTTGTATACCCTGGGTCTCTTTCCTTTCCATATAAAATTTGTAATTGTTTTTTCCATTTCTCTAAAGAATGTCATTGGAATCTGAATTGGGATTGCATTATGTATGTAGATTGCTTTGGGCAGTATTGACATTTTTCACAATGTTAAGTCTTCCTATCCCGGAGCATCATCTATTCTTCCATTTATGTAAGTCTCTTTTGGTTTCTTGTAGTAGTGTTTTGTAGATTTCTTTGTATAGGTGCTTTGTTTATTTGGTTACATTTATTCCTAAATATTAATACCATTAATTTTTATTCCTAAATATTAATACCATTCCTAAATGGTATTGCTTTCCTAATTTCCTTTTCAATGTTGTTATTATTAGTGTAGAGGAATCCAACTGATTTTTGTATGTTGATCATGTACCCTGCCACTTTGCTGAATCTTCCAATGAGTTCCAGTAGATTTTTGGTGAGTCTTTGGGGTTTTCTCTGTATAGGATCACATCATCTGCAAATAGAGAGAGTTTTATTTCCTCTTTTCAAATTTGGATGTCTTTAATTTCCCTGTCTTGCCTTATAGCTCTGGTTAAGCCTTCCAAAAAAATATTAAATAGGAGTGGTGATGAAGGGCATTTTTGTCTTTTACCTGTTTGCAATGGGAAGGCTTTCAGTTTCTTTCCATTGAGAGAGAGCGTAGCTGTTGGTTTTGCATATATGCTCTTAATTATGTTGAGGAATTTCCTTTCAAATCCTACTTTGTTGAGTGTTTTTTTTATCAGGAATGGATGTTAGATTTTGTCAAATGCCTTTTCTGCATCAATTGATATGATCATGTGGTTCTTCTTTTTCTTATTTATGTGGCGGATTACATTGATTGTTTTTCTGATGTTGAACCATCCTTGTATCCTTGGTATAAATCCCACTTGGTCATGATATATTATTTTTTTGATGTGTTGTTGAATTCTGTTGGCTATGATTTTGTTGAATATATTTGCATCTATATTCATGAGGGATAGCTGTCTATAATTTTCTTAGTGATGTCCTTCCCTGGTTTTGGTAAGAGGGTTATGCTTGCTTCATAGAATATATTAGGAAGTTTTCCATCCTCTTCTATATTCTGGAATAATTTGAGTAGAATTAGTGACAGCTCTTCCCTGAAGGTTTAGTAAAAATCTCGAGTGAAGCCATCCGGGCCTGGATTTTTTTTGGTTGGGAGTTTTTTGATGACATGGTAAATTTCTTCCTTTGTTATAGGTCTGTTCAAGTTTTCTACTTCACTCAGTGGTAGTTTAGGTGGGTTGTGCTTTTCTAAAAATGTATCCGTCTCCTTTAGGCTTTCAAATTTGTTGGAGTACAACTCTTCATAATATTCTGTTGTCCTTTTTTATTCCTATTGGTTCTGTTGTGACATTACCCATGTGGTTTCTTATATGCATGTTATTTGTTTCTTCTCCCTCTTTTCTTTTGTTAGGTTTGCCAATGGTTTGTCAATTTTATTAATTCTTTCAAAGAACCAGCTTCTTGTCTTGTTGATTTCTATAGTTTTTTTGTTTTCTATCTCATTTATTTCTGCTCTAATCTTTGTAATTTCCTTTCTTCTGTTGACTGTAGGTTTACTTTGCTGGTCTATTTCTAGTTGTTGGAGAAGTTGTGCTAATGTGTTGGTTTGGATTCTTTATTCTTTCTGGATGTGAGTGTTTAATGTAATAAACTGTTCTCTCAGCACTGCTTTTGCTGTGTCCCAAAGATTATAGTATGCTGTGTTTTCATTCTCATTTGTTTCTAGGAACTTTGTGAATTCATGTTTAATTTCTTCTACTATCCAGCTGCTTTTCAGCAGGGTGTTATTCAGTTTCCATGTATTTGACTTTATTTCCTTGGTCTTCCTATTGTTGATTTCTAATTTTATAGTATTGTGGTCTGAGAAGATGCTTTGTAGTATTTTAGTGTTTGTAAATTTATGGAGGCTTGTTTTGTGCCCTAACACATGGTCTATTCTGGAGAATGTTCCATTTGCACTGGAATAGAATGTGTATTGTGCTGTTGTTGGGTTGAATGCTTTGTACACATATATGATGTCCAAGTTGGCTGATTGTGTTGTTTAGTTCCTCTGAGTCTTTGTTGAGTTTCTTTCTGGTTGTTCCACTGTTTTTAGAAAGTAGTGTATTAAAATCTATCACTATTGTTGCAGATGTGTCTATTTCTTTCTTCAAATCTATTAGAGTTTACTTTATATATTTTTGAAATTCTGACATTGAGAGCACAGATATTGTGGTTATGTCAACTTTTTCAATTGCCCCTTTAATCATTAGATAATGTCCATCTTTATCTATTATGCTGGTTTTTGCCTTAAAGTGTATTTTATCAGTGATTAGTATTGCTTCTCCTGTGAGTTTTTTTTTTAATTGCAATTAGCTTGATGTATTTTTTTTCCATCTTTTGACTTTTAATCTGCTTTTT